CGTGCTGGCACTCCCCCTTAAATCCCGGCGTTTCTTAAGTGCTAGTCTCTCACCAGTGACCAAATCTCTCCAGGATCCTTGTGGATCCCAAAACTCAGTGTGGATCCCATTTGTATAAGGTCTTTCTGGCCTTTCCCCAGAAGGTGGCGCCATGCTTTTCCTTAGCTTCCACATTTTTGAAGCGCTAAAGGTAGGTATGCCCAACTGGGAAGACTTCTTCAATTCCACTCATTGTTTAGGAACATTTGCGCTTTTGTGTGTGTGTGTCCATTTGAAAACCTTTCTTTTTTATTCAACCAATTTTTCTGGTGTGTCTGTGACAGAGCCAAATCAAACTTTGCAAACTTAAAAGACAATCCAAATTTTGAAAAGTTCTGTGCTCTAGAAGAAACCTTATCTTTAAGCAAACATTCATTAATATTCCGAGTAATGATCTCATTTTTTAAAAAAGTTAGATGAGGAAATTATGCTCTTCCTAGCTAGCTAAAATTATTTTACTAACTGTGAAAAGAAAAAAAATCCTTGTGTTTCTAACTAGACTATAGCAGAATCAGAGTTGGAACAGTTAGAATGACTTTAAGGTGGGTTATAACCTGCTTGATGCTGCCTTTCCTTAAATATGCCCCATCCCCCTTTTTAAAATCCTTGCCATCTCTGGCCACCTTGTCTCCTAAACAGTATTGTTCTCCTTTCTTTCTGGTGCCCATGTTTACTTTTGCTCTCTGTTTGCTTACATTTATAATCTTTGCTTCTTATGTTACATAGAACACAGGGGCAAAACCTAAAGTTCACCCTGAGTCAGGCAGCTCGCCAAAAACTGGGGGCTTGGCATCTAGAGGGAAGTCAGGAACACCTATCTGCCTTGCCAAAGATGATGTCTGTCTTGGGAAACTTTCTGTAACCTTGGTAGGCGAGAGGGCCTCAAACTAAGCATTTCTAAGTGCACCTTCTGGCTTTTTATTTTCACACATTTTCCGAAGACCTTTTTATGTTAGGTACATTTGATTAAATGCTTCATGCAAGTGATGTGGAGAATTCCTGGAGTTCTAAGAGAGGAAGCATAGGGTAGCTCCTTTTCACCTGAATGACAGGAGAGCATGGAGAGGTGGGAGGGGAGGAAGACCGGCTTGTGATGGGATGGAGTTCTCACCATGAGCCTGCCAGGAACCTTCCTTGTCCTGTTAATGCTGGCCGCATCCCTAGGGGCATGGAGGGGTGGTTTGCTCCTCTCAGGACTGTTCAGTGGTGCAGCTGATGCTTGGATCCCAGGCTGTTTCCATGCCTGTCCTTCCACCCACTGAACTGCTGCCCAGCTCCCAGCGGAATTTTTTTTTTTTTTAAGATTTTATTTATTTATTTGACAGAGAGATCACAAATAGGCAGAGAGGCAGGCAGAGAGAGAGGAGGAAGCAGGCTTGCTGCTGAGCAGAGAGCCCGATGTGGGGCTCGATCCTAGGACCCTGGGATCATGACCTGAGCCGAAGGCAGAGGCTTTAACCCACTGAGCCACCCGGGTGCCCCTTCCAGAGGAATCTTAAATGTGGATTCCTGTCCATTAGTGTTTTCTACCTTGGCTATATCTATGAAGTTATCTAGTATTTTCTGACCCTGCTATTTTTTCCTCATATTTAAAAACTAAGATACATGGTTTCTTCTGTCAGTACCAAGCTTTCTGAGAGTATGTTAGGATACTTGCAAACCATGATTTCATACCACAGAAAGGCATGGCTCAGAGCACCTTCTCCCTGTGGGACCACCTTAGAAGAGAGATAGACCCCCCTCTTCCACTTTCCACCGTCTGCTTAGTGGTAAGTGCCCACTGTTGGGCTTTCCCAAGTGCACCGTGGACTTAGAGCAACCCCTGGGACATACAGGAACCGAGAAGGAAGAAAGGCACTTGACCTTAGGGTAATTCATCACATGATGGAGGCCTTCTAAGAAGTACACTGCCTCTCTTCAAATAGCTGATTACTAGAAAAAACTAACCTCAACTAAAGTCTCTTTTGCAAAAGGACAGAGCTGTTGCCTTTCAGGCATGTCACCTGGAACGGGACCCTCTGGGCCTCCTATGGTTGATTTTGCCCAAGGCTCAAGTTGGTCATTTATAGATAACTTGCTTCCTCCTCATTTTCTGGGCTAACTCCTCGATTAGAACATGTAAATGCAAATCATTGAGGCATGCCCCAGAGGTGACTTTGCCAGTCATGAACATTTTTAAAAATACATACACTATGGGAGAATTTGACAGACTCACTGAGCACCTCATCACCTCGTGTATGTTGGGCATTATTCTGGGTCCGACAGAAAGATGGCAGAGCGGGGAGCTCACCTTCTTTCAAAGTAAAATGACCTGTCTCCAGTGCTTTGCACCCAAGCCTGACCTTTCATGTAAATAATAATAAACACAGGGGCGCCTGGGTGGCTCAGTGGGTTAAAGCCTCTGCCTTCGGCTCAGGTCATGATCCCAGGGTCCTGGGATGGAGCCCCACATCGGGCTCTCTGCTCAGCAGGGAGCCTGCTTCCTCCTCTCTCTCTGCCTGCCTCTCTGCCTACTTGTGATCTCTGTCTTTCAAATAAATAAATAAAACCTTTAAAAAAATAATAATAATAATAAACACAGATAAATCGTGGCTGTTCTTGATACCTGTCTTCTCACAAGTACACAGATTTCATCCTTGAAGCATGCTGATTAGGGTCCCCAGTTTGGCTCCTGAAAGGATGAATGCACAATCCCAGTCTGTGCCACCACAGTGTATGCACTGTGTTCACAAGCATGCTGGCCAGGTGACGGGCGTGAGCAGAGCAGACACGCGGACTGCTGAGGCACACTCCAGGAAGTGAGCCCTGTTCACGTGGTAGGGTAACCCTGGCTGAACACAAAGCTGGGCTGTGTCTTGTTGCGAAGCCATGACCGCAGTGCCCTGAGATCTGACCCTGCCCCTCCTAAAGAGAGGAGCTGGGGCTCTGGGGGGGAAGTGTCTCAGTCAGGGCCCTGCAGTGACCTCATGTGGTCCATGTGTCCTATCCTCCTGGCTTGTAAGCCCCGATGTCTTAGCCCACTCTTGCCTAGGTCTAGAAGATGCCTTCTAGATGGTCTGTCTCCTGTTTTTGTTGGTCAGTGTTTGCTTCAATCATGAGAGCACTGGGGTGATCGAAGGCTTGAGCTGATAACCTTGGTACTATTGCTGAATAAAGACAGAGCTGACTTGTTTCAGATAGCAGAACACAAAGCAGAGAAGAATCTGGGTGGAATGCCCAGCCCAGGGTGGGTAGTAGGAGAAAAGTAGTAGATTTCCATTACATTTCATAAGAAAATGCATACATGTTTACAGCCTGGTGTTTTGTTGATTGTTTATATATGCAGCCTTGTGCTGTTAGTAGGAGTGACTTCCATTTACTGTATAGTACATTTTGTTACCACTTATCAAATGATATTTGTGAGTTCTCCCTATCTTACAGATGAGGAGATGGGGGCTTAACACTTGTGAATGGTGTGGCTGGGGTTTGCCACCTACGTCCAGAGCCCACATTCTTTGTTCCTTGCTGGGTTTTGCGTTTAACTTCTACCTTTATTACAGAGGGTTTTTGTGGCCCTTCTGGTGGCCTCTAGTACAAGTACCGTGTGTCTTTGCACATCATGACCTCTTCAGAGGTCAGAGGCTGCTGCTTTGGCCCTAAGGTGGCCATTTCACGTGCTTCCTTCAGAGTGCAGGGCGAGGGGATACCAGCACAGATTGTTGGAAAAGCAGCTTTCCCTAAGAATCTCCTCCCAGGGAAACCCAGAGAGTTCTTTCCGAGCCTTTCCAACTGCTTTACAGCTAGGCATTTCCATGGAATCCTAATTATTGAAGCCATTTTTCTTCTAGGCTTCTCTCTAGTTGTTTTGATTGCAGATGTCCCACAGGCTGTTGGAAAGCATTTATATTTATTTTTAGGTCCTAATCTTCTAGGGCAGAGACTCTCAAATTTTCCTGTATGGGAGACTTTCCCAAGTGCTCATTAAAACAGCTTGCTGGGGGTGCGCCTGGGCGGCTCGGTCAGTTGAAGTTTTGGCTCAGGTCATGATCTCAGGGTGGTGAGATTGAGCCCTGCATCAGGCTTCACACTCAGCGGGGAGTCTGCTTTGAAATTCTCTCTCTCCCTCTGCCCCTCCTCGCCCACTGGCACATGTGCTTGCTCTCTGTCTCAAATAAATTTTTAAAGATTTTTCTTTAAGGGGCACCTGACTCAGTGGGTTAAAGCCTCTGCCTTTGCCTCAGGTCATGATCCCAGGGTCGTGGGATCGAGCCCCACATTGGGCTCTCCACTCAGCAGGGAGCCTGTTTCCCCCTCTCTCTCTGCCTACTTGTGATCTCTCTCTCTCTCTGTCAAATAAATTTAAAAAATCTTTAAAAATTAAAAAAAAAAAGATTTTTCTTTAACCAATTTATTTGGCAGAGAGAGAGCATAAGAGGTGGTAGGGTCAGAGGGAGAAGCAGACTCCCCGCTGAGCAGGGAGCCAGACATGGGGCTCCTTCCCAGGACCCTGGGATCACGACCTGAACCAAAACCAAGAGTAGGATACTAAACTGACTGAGCCACCAGTTGCCCTATCAAATTAAAACAAAACATTAAAACGAAACAAAACAACAACAACAAAAAACCCAAAACAGCTTGCTAGGCTCCCATTACCCACCTACCCCCTCCCCCAGTCTCTGATTCAGCCAGTCTGGGTTGGGGCCAGGGAAGCTGGATTTCTAGCATGTTCTCAGGAATGCTGCTGCTGTAGGGAAGAGGCAACACTTGGATAACTAATTCTCCAGGGCTTCTGGGGTGATCCACATGCCTACCTTCCCATGCCCCCATCCCCTGTAAAATCACCCTCGAAGCCACTCTGCTTTTACTTCTTTGTACAAAATTAGCCAGAGGCATCAGGTGAAGTCTGTGTCTGGCTTCCAAAGTTAGCCAGCGGCGTGACTTGGTCTTCAGGAGCTCACTCATGTGGGGACCTGGTATTGCAGGTAGTGAGAGCGGCTGAGGAGGCGGCGTCCACGCTGGCCAGCTCTATCCACCCAGAGCAGTGCATCAAAGTTCTCTGTCCCATCATCCAAACAGCCGACTACCCTATCAACCTCGCCGCCATCAAGATGCAGACCAAAGTCGTCGAGAGGATCGCCAAGGAGTCCTTGCTGCAGCTCCTCGCTGACATCATCCCAGGCTTGCTACAGGTGGGCCCTCCCGGCAGCTGGCCGGCACCTGTCTTCCTGGGGCTATGAGGCCGGGAGCAGGCGCTGTCCCACCTGGGGACATGGGGGCTTTGCTCTCCCCATTCACTCAAGGGTTGGGGAGGAAAAGGCAGGAGCCGACCTGTGCTTTTAGGAACCTGTGCAGCTGTATGGCTTGGACACCCTACGCCTTCTGTTTTCTAATGCACCCACCCCTGAAGGTAGCAGGAAGATCTTCCTGGAAGATTAGAACTGTGGCTCCAGGAATGAGCTTTCTGTTTACTATAAATATATTTTGGTCATTTTTGTTGTTGTTCATTCCTTCAACAAAGCCTTATGGCACATCTGTGGGCCCCAGCCCTGGGCAAGGTGGGCCAGGGATCAGCTCCAGGTCCTTGCTCTGCTCTCCAGCAATCACTTACTGAAAGCCTTCTAAGCATGAGGCATAACGTGGGGCCCCATACAACTGTGTGGGCGGCTCCAGATGCGGGCACCACACGCCATTATTGTAGGTACAAGTGGAGCTTGCTGAGATCAGAGGCTGAGGGCTGATTTCAGGGCTGGGGCAGCAGAGAGAGGAGGGCTCATGGAAGAGCCAGTTTACAGTCGCACCCTGGAAGGGTGAGAGTGATTTCAGCGGGGAGGGTAGAAAGAAAGGAGCTTCACGGTTTAATAAATACTGCTGCTTGCCGAGCACTTGGCTTGGGACCTTAAATGCAGACTGAAAAATCCTCAGGGCTGCTGGGACAGCAGTGAGTAGTCCCATTTGAGTGGGGCAAGGGCCAGGCCAATGGGTAGGTCAAGGCCCGTTTGTAGAGGATGCACGTGTCGGGCCGTGGGCCTGGATGCCCCCACAGGTTCTGCCCACAGGAGTGCGGGATGCAGTTCTTGTTTCCTTTTTTTTTTAAATTAATTAATTAATTAATTTTTTATTTATTCGACAGACAGAGATCTCAAGTAGGCAGAGAGGCAGGCAGAGAGAGGAGGAAGCAGGCTCCCCGCTGAGCAGAGAGCCCGATGTGGGGCTTGATCCCAGAACCCTGGGATCATGACCTGAGCTGAAGGCAGAGGCTTTAACCCACTGAGCCACCCAGGTGCCCCGCAGTTCTCGTTTCTTAAAAGACATTTTTACACAAGGCTTGCTTTCCCCGGGGGGGCGCCCAGGTGACTCAGTTAAGCGTCTGCCTTCGGCTCAGGTCATGATCCCAGGGTCCGGGGTTTGAGTCCTTTGGTCAGGGCTCAGCTGGCAGCCTGCTTCTCCCTCTCCCTCTGCTCCCCCCAACCGCCTATTCATGCTTGCACGTGCGCTTTTTTTCAAGTAAAATAAAATTAAAAACACATATATTTGCTTTACCATTGGGAGAAATGTGAAAGAAGCAAGCTGTTTCTTCCCCCCGAATTCCTGTCCCAGTCTCTCTGGCACACGTGTATGTCGGGGGGCACTGCCACGACAGCTCTGGTGAAGCAGCCCCCCCTGTGCACAGGCTGCCGGCCAGTCTCCCGCTTCCGACCCTGGGAACCAGCTCGTTTTCCACACTGTGAAGCTGTGACCTCTCTGGGTTCAGCGGCAGATCTCAGGTGTGCTGTGGTCGTTGGCAGCAAGTTCACGGATGAACTATGAGGGCATTTGTGGAAATGTGGGTGAGACGTTGACTGTGAAGCAGTTTTTTGATCTCATTTCCTTTTTGTGTCCCCTCTGACTTTGTAGGGCTATGACAACACCGAAAGCAGTGTACGTAAGGCCAGCGTGTTTTGCTTAGTGGCAATTTATTCCGTAATTGGAGAAGAGCTGAAACCTCACCTCGCGCAGCTCACGGGGAGCAAGGTATGTATAGTGTTACATGAGCCGGTCGCACACCTGGGCTCTGCCAGCCATCGTGTATCTGCTTGGCTGCAGCTCTGGCCTCCACACAGCCAGGGTCCCCCGTGGCTGTCAGCAGTCATGATAGCAGGCGCTCTCGCCAGGTGCTTGCCAAGGCCCAGGTCCTGGACACTGTTGTCTGCACCTGGTGCGTGTTGATGCGTTCACTCGTGGCCGACATCCCTGTGGGACAGGGACAGTTATCCCACATTTAACTGCCCAAGGACACACACAGCTCAGCTTTCTCTCACTATGCTGCCTCTCACGTTCCTTTCAGAGTTTTCTAGAATCAGAGGCCAAATGTGGAACAAAAGGCTGATTAGCTCATTGCAGCCAAGGATGGCTAAAGTGCTTATTGGTTTCAAAATCTGAAGAGCCTGCCAGTTGAGAGCAGGTGGATGCCCCAAGCTCTGGCAGGAGCGGCAGCTTGAACTCCTGGGCCTTGCAGGCCTCTGGCCTGGTGGCAAGGCTACTCCAGGGACTGCCCATGGGGGAAGTACGTCAACATGGAGTTAGAACACCCTGGCAGTGTTCTGCATAAAAAACCGTGAAGCTAGAGGTACCTGACGCGCTCCTTATGAAGGATAGAATCAACAATAAGGCCCCGTGTCTTTCCATGTGGAGCTGTTCCCGACACAGCTAATGAGCCTCACAGCCAGGGCCTTGCTTCCCCGGAGTTGTGGCAAGGCCAGCTTGCCTGCCTCTGCCCAAGCAGGATTTGCCCCTCAGCACCACTGACACTTTGGGCCACCTTGTTGTCAGGACTTCTGGGCATTATAGGAAGATCAGTGGCACTCCTGCTGCCTTCTGTATCTTCCGGTAGCACCCCCACCATCGGTAATTGGACTGGTAATCCCCATGGAGTCTGCCCATGGCCACATCACCCGTGGAGGGCAGAATCTCCCCTGCTCGAGCTCCACTGATCCCGGGGGAGACACTTGACTCTTCTTGCAGACAGAAATAAGCAGCGGGGTCGGAGGGTGTGAGTGAGGTGGCTGTGGATAAGTGATTTCAGGGGTTCTTTGCCTGATTCCATTTTCCACTTCCTCCTTTCCTTTTCTCCTACAAAAAGGCTCTTCACTGATTCCTACCCTAGCCACGATCTGAGGAGTACTGAGACAAAGGTCACCAGCAGTGAGAACTAGAAGACAACTTTCACAAAGGAAATTCAACTTCTAAAAATCATCCCCAAATTATACTAGACCCAGATTTTGTCCAGTAGTTTTCATTTTCCTCAGTAAGGCAACTGTCCCATCATCTCATTTGACCTCTCCAATATATATGGATTGAGAAGATGCAGGTGTTTTCTCATCCCTGTCCGGCAGCCGGCTTGCTGCTGCTCCTTTCCATGGTGGCCTCGGGCCAGAGCCGGTTACAGCTTGAGTCTGCTCAGAGGGCTTAGGGAGGCCAGCCCTCCCACCGCTCCACTTTGATGGCCCAGTTCATCCTATTACGGTCGCTTGATGGAGTAACTCTTTTTGTAGACTCATGTATATGTCTCCACCACCAAAAATCAGTAGCTGACAGACATGGTGCTAAGTCTATTTGACTAGAAACAAAAGAATTCCTGTTTCTTTGTAGAGAAGGGCCCGAGGCAAGGACGCAGAGGGCATGCATATGGGGCATTTTGAGAGTGTCCTGTCGCTGTGGCAGCAACAGCATCCTTGAGGTCAGACAACCTGCCTGTGGTCTCTGCCCCCCACTTCCTAGCTAGCTCTATGACGTTGAATAAGCTTTCTTTTCTCTTTCTGTTTTTTTTTTAAATTATGGCAGAATATACATAACATACAATTTGCTATCTTTACCATTTTTTATAGTTTACTGGTAATAAGTACGTTCACAGTGCTATGTGACCATCACCTCCAGAACTTTTTTCATCTTGTAAAACCAAAACTCTGTACACATTAATAGTAATTCCTTATTATTACCTCCTCACAGCCCCTGGCCACCACTGTTCTATTTAGTCTCTCTGAATTTGACTGCTCAGGTGCTTCATGGAAGTGGAATCATTTGTCTTTCTGTGACTGGCATATTTCACTTAGAATAACATCCTTGAGGTTCATCCTTTGTGGTAGTATTTGCCAGAATGTCCTTCCCTTTTGAGGCTGAATAATATTCAATTATATGTACATACAACAGCCTGCTTATCCATTTTTTGGTAATGGACACTTTTTCTTTCCACTTGTGGCTGTTGGGAGTCATGCTGCTATGAATGTATGTATAAAAATCAGTCTTTGCGACCTGACTTTCAGTTCTTTTGGGTTATCCTGTAGGACTGGAATCGCTAAATCCTAGAATAACTTTTCCACGGTGGTTGTGCCCTTTCATGGTCCCAAGAATAGCACTGACAGGCTATAGTTTCTCCACATACTAACCAGCATTTGTTCTTTTCTCTTTTTTGATGGTGGCCATCCCAGTGGCTGGTGGTCCTCTGTTGGCTGCTTGGTGTATCTTCTTTGGAGAAATATCTACTCAAGTCCTTTGTCCATTTTGAATTTTTTTTTTTTTAATTCTTAGGCTTTAGCTGTTCTCTGTATATTTTAGATACTAATCCTTATCTTTCAGTGCATAAATTTTTTTAATGTGAAGCTTTTGCCCTATGTTTTCTTCTAAGAGTTTTATAATTTAACTCACACATGCAGGTTCTCTGGTCCATTTTGAATTAATTTTTATGTGATATTAGGTAATGCTTCAATTTCATTCCTTTGCATGTGGATATCCAGTTTCCGTGGCACCATTTGTTGGAAAGACAACCCTTTCTTCATTAACTGGTGATTTTATATCTTATGACTTTGCTAAATGTATTAGTCTTTGCAGGGTTTTTAGGGAGAATCATTAGGGTTTTCTACATATAAGATCTTCATCATCTATGAATAGAAACTATTTTACTTCTTTTCAGTGTGGAGACCTTTTATTTTTTATTGTCTTATTTCTCTGGCTGGAACTTCTAGTACCAAATTGAATAGAAGTGGGGAGTTTCAGCACCTTGCTTTGTTCCTGATCTTCAAAGAAACACTTTTAGTCTTTTACCATTGAACATAATGTTCACTGTGGGCTCCCCATATGTAACTTTTGATATGTTAGTTTCCTTCTGTTCCTAGTTTGTTGAGTAATTTTATTATCAAAGGATGTTGAATTTAGTTATCATCAGTTGAAATGATTATGTGTTTTTTTCCCCTTCATTCTGTTAATTATATTGATTAGATTTTCATATGTTTAGCTATCAATGAATTTCAGGAACAAATCCCACTTGACAATGGTGTATACTCTTTTTCATATGCTGTTGAGTTCAGTTTGCTAGATTCCTCTCGAGGACTTTTACATCAGTGTTTGTAAGAGGTACTGACTCATAGTTTTCTGTTCTTATCTTCATCTGGCTTTGGCATCAGGACAATGCTGACCTGATAGCATGAGTTTGAAAGGGCTCCTTAATCTTCGATTTCACGGAAGAATTTGAAAAGGGTTGGAGTTAGTTTGCTAAATGTTTGGTAGAATTTACTAGTGAAGCAATCTGGTCTAGGGCTTTTCTTTGTAAGAAGTTTTTTGTTGTTATGTTTTTGTTTTTGTTTTACTGCCCCAGTCAATGAAAGTGAGACTTTATGGAAGCCCCAGGGCCATGGGATTCTGGCAAGGAGTGGCTCTGCAGGCAAAAAAAGAGCCGGTGGAGGGGCAGTATTTGATCGTCTCAGGGCACAGGTTGTTGATGTGGCACACTTGTGCGACAGGTGACTGCAGGGGTGCAGGCGAGCAGAACCCTAGGAGCAGATCATCTTGTCACAGTTGGATTTCTGGGCCAGCGGTGGAGGAAGGCTCTATGGTGCCACCCTACAGGTGAATCCCCTAGTCCAGGACGGCCTCTTGCTGGATAGTGCGGTCTGAGACGGTGCAGCTGCCCTCCGGCTCTTTGCTCCCCAAAATCAGATGCTGCTGGTCGGGCAAGATGCCGTCCTTGTGGATCTTAGTTGTAATGTTCTCAGGGGTGTCACTAGGCTCGACCTCAAGAATGACAGCCTTACCATCAGGATCTTTACAGAGAGCTGCATCTCCACGTGTGCCGCAGGGCCGGTGCCACCCAGGAGATTTTTTATTACTGATTTGATCTCCGCACTAATTATAGATCTGTTTGCATTTTCTCTTTCTTCATGATTCAGTCTTGGTAGGCTTGATGTTTTGAGGAATGTGTCCATCTCATCTGGGTTGTCTCATTTGTTGGTCTACGTTTATTTGTAGCATTCTTTTACAATCTTCTTCTTTCTTTTTTTAAGATTTTACGTATTTAGGGCACCTGGGTGACTCGGTGGGTTAAGCCTCTCCGCCTTCGGCTCAGGTCATGATACCAGGGTCCTGGGATTGAGCCCCGCATCGGGCTCTCTGCTCAGCGGGGAGCCTGCTTCTCCCTCTCTCTCTGCCTATCTACTTGTGATCTCTCTCTCTCTGTCAAATAAGTAAATAAAATCTTTAAAACAAAACAAAACATAAAGAAGACCCAAAGGCAATGACCTAACTTTACATTCTTAAGGAAGTAGAAAGAGAAGAATAAATTAAGCCGAGAAAGAAGGAAATAATAAAGATTATTTATTATAATCTTTTAGTTTGGGTATGTTGTGTTTTCATTTTCATTTGTCTCAAGATCTCTTCTAATTTTCCTTGTGATTTCTTTGTTGACCCATTGGCTGTTTACCAGTATGTTGTTTGGTTTCCCCAAATTCGTGAATTTTTCTGTTTTCTTTCCATTGACTGACTTTTCACTTCATCCAGTTGTGGTCTGAGAAGACACTCTCTATGGGATCTGTCTTTGTAAATCTATTGAGACCTAATTTGTGGCCTGACACACAACCCATTCTGGAGCACGGACCGTGTGCTCTTGAGAAGGATGTGTATTTTGTTGTTGCGTAGCATATTCTAGATGTGTCTGTTAGATCCAGTTGGTTCGTCATAGTGTGCAAGTCTTTGGTTTCCTTGTCTTCCTTCTGGTTGCTCTCCCCATTATTAAGAATGGAATCCTGAAGTTGCCCACTGTTACTGTAAAACTCTTTCTCCCTTCAATTCTGTCAGTGTTTTCTTCTGACATTCTGCTGGCATGTTACTATACACTGAAATGTCTGTACTTGGTGTATCTTCTTGGTGTATTGACCTTTTATGAATATAAAGACTTTCTTTGGTCCCTTGTAAACTTTTTTGACTTAAAGTCTATTTTGCCCAATACGATTAGCACAGCCATCCCTGCATGCTCGATTATGGTTCACGTGGGCTGGCTTTTTCCAGCCTTTCATGTTCAGCCTCATTGTATCTTCCCTAAAGTGAGTCTCCTATAGACAGCATAGAGTGGGACCATGTTTTTCTCACCCATCCTGCCAGTCTCTCTTTTCACGGAAGAGTCTCACCGTCTCCACTGGAAGCAACTCCTGGGGAGGAGAGACTTCTGTCATCTGGGCATATGTTTTCTGTATGCTGTAGAGCTGTTTCTGTCCCTTACTTTTCTGCATTACTGTCTTCTGTGTTTGCTTTGTGTACTGAAACGTTTCTCTTCTCGTTTCTGTGTATATTCTGCAGCTTTTTTCTTAGCAGTTGCTGTGGGGATCACATCTGACACCCTCAGGTGGTAGCAGTCTACAGTTTGAACTTGTACCAGCTCATGGAGCAAGTGAACCCCAGCCTTTTCATTTGAACCCCTGTGCTTTATGAGCTCCTTCCTCATTTTGCAGGAGGGCAAGTTGATGTTCAGAAAATGTTTTGCCTGAAGTCACACAACTAGTTAATGGTGGAGTTGGTTCTAGAACTGTGCTGGATCTCTTGCGCCTCAGGCTGCCGCTTTGTTTGATGACAAGGGTTTCCCTTGAACCTGGTCGGCCATGACTGTATCACTTAGAACATTAGAACGTTAGAATCCCTGTGTAAAACGATGGTACTGCCCTCATGGGGCGCCTGGATGGCTCAGTCGGTTGGGTGTCTGGCTATTGGTTTCTGCTTGGGTCACGATCTCAGGTTCTCAGGATCGAGCCCCTAGTCAGCTCTGCACTCAGCAGGGAGTCTGCTTGAGATTCTCTCCCCCGCCCCCACAACTCGTGCACATTCTCTATCTCTCTCTCCCAAATAAATAAAATCTTTCAATAAAATAAAATGTTTAAGATTTTAAGGGGTGCGGAAGGAAAAGCAAACTGTGCCGTACTTGGCTCAGTTACAAAAGCTAAGGCAACGCTGCAGGTGCTGGTGTGTTGAAAGCCCAGGGCTGGACTGTGGAGTAAAAGCAGCAGGCCTCAGACGCACTGCTGACTCCCTTTGAGTGATATGTTGGGAGACTTAGCCTCCCCTAGAAGCTCCGTACAGTTGCTGTCCTGGTGCCCGGTTGTCACTGGGGGCCCACTTTCTTGTGCAGTACACACTGAGCCTCTCCTCCTGGGTCCCCTGAAGACCAGCATTGTGGCCTGTCTACAGCAAGACAGGTAAAGAGCTGTGGATAGGAAATATCCCATAATTCCCTCAGTCTTACAAGTTGTGTGTTACGTGCATTTTTTCTGGGCATTCCATTTCCACAGATACTTCTTTCTTTTTGTTCTTCATATGATCACAGAGATGGTCCATATAACATACTAACTTAGTAGCCTTCAAGAAGCATTTAAGAACCTACCATGTTTTACATATTTGAAGGGTCCTAGTGGGCCTATGTTAAGAGCAGATGAGATCCGGTTATGGAAGCCCCTTGCGTTGGGAAGCCCCGTGCACAGCCAAGGTGCTGTGGTTTAATGACACAGCATTGGCGTCAGGGAGGTCTCGTCTTGATGGAAGCGGCAAGTGAGGGCTTCGCTGACTGCAGCTCGATGCGGCATGGGCTGAGGCAGAGTGCAGTGCCCACGCCACAGGACTTGGAAAAAAGGGATGGGGGCATCCCAGTGAGCGGATGAGGGTAGGCTTGGCAGATGCAGCCTTTGGGGTTGGTCTCAGATGTCACAGCACCGCAGTGGGCTTGAGAAGCCGAGACGGGGGTGGAGAGAGGAGGTGTGCGTGCAAAAGGAGCAGCTTCGGCAAAGGTGCGAAGGTCAGAAGACTTGACCCATAGCCTTATTTAGCCTGTCCCCAAGGAGCACGGGCCTGTGCCCTGCTTTCCCTGACAGCTGCATGCAGCCCTTGGCCGCAGTCACCATGGAACATGTGCCTCTGCCCTTCACATACTTGTCTCCCCGGAGCCCTTGTGGCCCACCTGGTTAGCACCTTTCATTCTGTTCCTGAGAACCCATTGCCACCTGTTCTTCTTTAGATCCTGACCTCCACGTCTGGGCCCTCACCCCCGGCTGACGTGCGCTGCAGGAGTCACAGGCCCTAAGTAAATAGAACATGCTGTTTTCGTCTTTTTTTTTAAGATATTTATTTATTTATGAGAGAGAGCACGAGCATGAGCAGGGGAAGGGGCAGAGAGAGAAGCAGAGTACCACCCCCCTGCCCCCCAAGCAGGGGATCCAGGACCTGGGATCTATGATCCAGGCCAAAGGCAGACAACCAGCTGAACCACGCAGGTGCCCATAACATGCTGCTTTCTTATCGTCACCTGGGTTTTTTCGTTTTCTGCTCTCTGATTGCTTTCCTCCTGCTAATGCGTTTGTGTCTTCTCTTTGCAGATGAAGCTACTAAACTTATATATAAAGAGGGCCCAAACCACGAACAGCAACAGCAGCTCCTCCTCCGACGTGTCCACACACAGCTAATGCAGCACCACAGTCTCTTCGTGTAGCCCTAGAAGCAATCGGTGGTGCCTCTCAGAGACCCTCCCCGACCCTCCCCCTCATCGGCTGCCCAGTCAGTACAAGGAGGCCCGCAAATATTTATTACAATCAGTATTTTGGTCCCTTTCAGCTTTTGTGTAGAATCTTACTGGTATTGAATGTAAAGGAAGCAAGGCCTGTATTACAATCTTCATACAAAGCAAATGGAATAAGAAAAGAGCCATACGTGAACACGTCTTGTACAGTCTGCTGAGATCACAAAACCATGTGTGTGGGGCGCAATTTCAAAAAAATTAGAGCTCTCTAGCCAATACTTGGTAGAAAGTAGCATTTTCTCTTAGTTAATAACATTGGAGGAGGGTATGTTAATTTGTGCTTCTCTCTCATCCTCGCTTACTTCCTTCTGGATACGGCCTGTGACGCCAGGACAGGGTCGTACGTCTTTGAGTTGTACTGTGAGACCTACTAAGAATGTGAGTCCAGTCTTGGCAAGAAAGAGAGAAAAGCCTGAAGACAGTCTTGTAACAAGCACATGGGATTTTGCTTGTACACGATCTAGACTGGAGGCCCAGGGCCCCCTCCGCAGGCTCCTTCCAGGACAGGCTCCCCGCCCCTCCGAACACTCCACTCTCACTATCCCCACCCGGAGCTTCCAGTTGAAATCTTTCTTCTGTTTCAATCCAAACTCAAAAATCAAGGTAAATCTGTAGCAGCCATCATGGGTGCCTAACGTGGCATTTCATGAAGCGTGGAAGGTACAAGAGAAAGGGGTGTGTGAGTGTGTATGTGTGTGTGTGCGCGTGTGCCCCGCTCCTCAGCTCTTGGGGAGACATCATGTTAACAGGCCTCCGCCTTGACCCTGGTGCTTGGTGGTTTGGATCTTCGGATTTAGCGCCATCTCAGTTCCTCCCCGGCAGCCTCTGCCGAGGCTGCTCAATTCTGAAGCGTTCTCCGTCCGTCTGGTAAAGGGCGACTCTGTCATCCCAGTTTTGCCCTCTCGGTTTAATTTAGGAGTAAGAGCAAAGAAAAGTCCAGAGAAGCCAAGTATCAGAATCTTTTTTTTTTTAATTTTATGAATATAAGTACTTCCTTGCTCATCTGTTGAAATAATCCTTGTTTAAGGATAAAGTAATTTAGCAGCTGGCAAATGGCAGAAAAACAGACTTTAAAACCCAGTTTTAAAGTCTGTTTCCTTTTCTCCAGTGAGAAATTATCAGAGAAACTACCCTTCTGAAAATATTCTCTTAAAGGTGTGATTGCTCCAGTAAAAGGAGCTCTAGACTTGGAATCTGGTTAAATCCATTTTGAGTAAAATTCTCAAAGCCAAATGGAAATCCTTGATGCAAAGACTTCTATCCTCTGTCCAAATGGAACTGATTTTTCCCTCTGAAAAATGCCTACTCTGGTATTTTTTTCATGAGGCGTTCACTGTTCCGATGCTGAATCCCCTGCAGGCAGCACCACTGAGAACAGAGACCATGTGGGGTCACCACGGACATCCCTAGACGCTCCCCTGCTCTGGTCCTGTGGCCTTGTGTTGGAAGTTGCGACACTGTAGCACACATAAACTCGGTTTCATTCAGAATTTATTTTAGATACTTAATTTGGAGCTAGGCACTGCAAATGGAGGTCCAGGAACAGTGAAGCCAGGGTGCCTTCGCAGAGAGCGCGCGCGCGCGTGTGTCTGTGTAGGGGTCTCTCGCACGTGGAGGGAAGTACCCCACCGCTGCTGTTGAAGGAACTTCAGGGGTGCATTTTAAGCGGTTGAATATTCACTTATTTTTGGCTCAGAACATAGCAGGACCAGGCCTTACTTTCATTGATAAATACCGTTTGTTAATATTTCACTAATGGGATTTCCTTTTTACAATCGACAAGTGAGTCAGGGCACCTTTTGATCACTCCTCTGTCTTAGAAACGTGCGTTCCGGCGAGGTTATTTATGAGTTCTTTCACACCTGATGCATTTGGAAAGGCCTTCCTCCTTGAAATCTCTGACTCCCTGGTCTCCCAGGCCCCGCCGCCTGCAGTTGGGAAGAACCTTGAACATTAACGAATGTCCTCCTAGTACTCAAGAAGGGCTAGCCTTGAATGTCACTTGCCCGATTCAGTCTCCCCACCTAGAGATGCAATCATGGACAGGTCTCTTGGCCTCAGTCAAAGCTGCTGGCGTGGCCGGGGAGACTCGCATGCCGCCGCCACCACCTCACAGGGAGGGAGCCGCGCAGACTCCGCCCTCTGAAGCCCGGACAGCAGCCGCTGCCTCACCCGCCCTCCCTGCAGGCCTCCTTTTGGGCTGAAACACCACACAGAGCAAAGCACCCAAAACTGCAGAACTGTGTTTGCTGCCCCTGTTTACTGGACTGTCCAGGACCCCGAAGAGCCCACCCGAGCCTCCCTCCCGCTGGGGCCGGCTTCCCTCCTGGCTCCCGCTTCTTCCCACGATGCGGCCCGCAGGCTGAGGCTGCGGTGGGCACCAGCTTCTTCCGAGTACACTGTGTGTGCTTCGCTGGACCGGCACGGACGGCCCGGGACTGCCTCTCTGTGGCCCCCCACCAGCTTCTCCCCTGTGCAGGTGATGCAACCGATTCTGGTCTCATCAGTCTTTTTCTTTCCCTGCCGCCCTTTATTTATCAAGCATAATACTACACGTTAACAGCAAATAAGAACTTTGTAGAATCCCACCAGGACTTTGCTAACAATGATGTTTGGAAATGAAAACAACGCTCGGAAAACTCTCAGCCACCATAATAGTTTTGTCGGCGCTGTGTTCACACGCATGGTCCCCACACCCCCAGGTTGGGTTTTTTGGGTTTTGTTTTTGTTTTTTGGGGGCTTTTCATGTTACATCCATATCTGTATTTATATCTTATTTGTTTCACTTTCAAGTGTATCATGGCAAATGTACAGATTTTTTTGTTAATAATGTGCTAGGATTTGCTAAAAAAGAAAACAAAACAAAAAAAAACCCTTTTGAGTTTGCCCTAGAATAAATGAAAATTAATTCAGTTTCTTGCACTGAAGCTTTTTCCTCCCCGGACGCTATAGATAGCTTATCCTGTCTCCCCAACCCCACAAGGGGACACATTCATAAAGAATCTGAGGGGGCTCCTTCAAGGGAGTCTTCTCGATGTCAAGTCCTTCTCTAGGGGGAGTGTCCCACCCGCTAGCGGGAGCTGCCACCTTGCAGCGTGGCGTGAAGGGTTGGGCATGAAGACCCAGGTGGGCTGCCTAAGCAGAGAAAAGGTGAGCTTCCGGGAATCAGCTCAGGGGCTGCTGCTGGAAGCCGGCTGGACCTTGGGGAAGGGGTTGGAGGGAGGGGGCCGCCTGGCAGCTGACCGGAGCATGGACTTAGGAGGAACACGTGCAGGACACCGAGGGCACCAATCCGCTTGAAGCCTTTTACTAAAACAAGACGGTGAGTTTTCCATTGTTTAGCATCACCACCACATGACTCTGAGTCCCCTTCTCCTTCCCCTGTTTGACCTGTGACAGCAGGTCATACCACATCACAAATGCCTGGGCCCAAATCCCAGCTCCCACCCTCCCTAGGCAAGTCACCACTCTTCCCAGCCCAGTGGTTCCAGTTTTAAGGCAGAACAAAAACTACATCCCAGCGGGGTGGTGAGGGTTCGTGGAGATGCTGTAGGTGAAGCTGCTGGTACAGAGTGAATGCTAGGTCGCCCCTGCCCCGCCTCCTGTAGGCAGAGGGAAATCGGTCAGGTGAAGCATGCTCCATTACTCAGCAAATGTGGAAAACCCCTGGGGGGGACGGACCACGGCCCTTTGGGTTGCTAACCCCTGGTGCCATTGTGCTGCCTTTTTCAGGACTGCCATCTTGACGGTCATGGGCCACAGGTGTGGGAGGGGGATTCAGGGGCCCACTGCAATCCATAGCTGTTAGCTTCAGGGGATCCAAATGGCTTCTTCAGACTGTGCACCTTGCCACTCAGTTTTGCACTCAATCATAGAAGGTTCTAGGACCCCCTGAACCTGTCCCCGGTTCACAAGGTGAAAAGCTCTGACCTAAAGGCCATGTATGTTCTTGGCCTTATTGGGTCATTCAAGACGGGGTGGGGACGTGCAGCTGAGAAGCAGCATTAATAAACTTGTCTGGCGCTTAGACTTGGGAGAATTGTCTGTAGCATTGTACTGATTTTTCCACTAGCTCTATGATGCAGGCAAGGGACGTGCTGTCCTGTCCAATTGCCAGATGAGGAAACGGAGTCATGAGGCACTAGGAAAAGCCCCAGCTAGATGGTGACAAATGTTGGGGCAGGACCCCAGGCTCTGCCCCTAACAGGTGTCTTCCCAGCCTCCCCTGCCTCCCCCGCTTAGCACATTCTTCCTGGAACAACAGATGGGCACGTGGGAGTTCTCCCCCCGCCCCACCCCGGGGGTGGCTTATGAAGCAGCCTGCTGGGTGTGGACCCATGAGCAGCTGGAGGGCCATGGGGGTCCTGGGAAGGTGCATTTCAGACAAGTTCCCAGGTGAGGCCAATGCTGCCAGTCTGGGGTCACAGCCTGAGAACCACTGCCATACGCTTTGCTTGAAACAGGACAGGTGGCTTGGGCCCAAGGTTTTGGACGATTCTGAGAAGCTATTGCAGAAAACAGCACTGGGCTGCAGCTTCGTTGCTGGGCCATGGCGAACATTACGGGTAATGACTGTTGACTGTCTAACTTAGCGTCCTAGCTAGGACTTTCAGAGGGGAATTCATAGTAGAGGGAAGCCAGGAGTGTCTGGGGCAAATAGGACACTCACCACGCCCACTATGGAGCATAAAGCTCCCTGCTCAGAGGGAAGCTCTTCCCGAAGAGCCTTTGCCCAAACTGCCCGCCTCTCCGCTTCTTCCTGTATTTATTAACTCCTGCTGCAGTGCTCTAGGCAAGAACGGACAAAGGTCATGTGAATGGGCATCTAATCTTGGATTATGTATTTAAAAAACATTAAAATGCTTCCACACCAGTGCCCTCCTCAGACAGCGGGCCTGCTGCCAGCGCCACCGCCCTGGAGGCTGGCTGTGAGGCCCCGGGCACGTTCCCAGCAGCGGCGGGGTGCCCCTGCCTCCCCAGGCCCTGCCCACGCCCCCTCGCCGCTGCTCCCCCCGACACACACCGCAGCTGCAGTTCAGGTGCTGTCCCTCCACGGCCTTGGGGGGCACCCAGGTGTCCCCAGCTCCGGCACCCATCAGTGCCTCTCTGGTCTCTGGCTTCCCCCTCTGTGGGCCTGCTGTGGCCTCATCCCAGGCTCTTTGATGCCACGCTCACTGCCTACAGTGACGGGGGGTGTGCTGCTGCTCCTCACGGCGCCTGGCTGGGGGGTCAGGAGCCGACCGGTGTGCAGGAAGTCTGGAAGTCTGGTTCTTGAGCCCGACTCGAGTGTTTCAGGGTCTCTGACTTCACCCAGATGACTCCAGCCTAGGATGAGCTCAATTTCTGACTCAAAGGAATGAAGGAGTGAGGAGTTGGTTGGGGTGAGGGGTGGTGGGCCCCACTGCTCCTTGGCCCTCACAGCACCTCCTGTCTCTGGGCTTTTCAGGCGACCTCTCCGCAGGGCACTATTCCTCCACCCACTCCTTTCCACGCCTGCTGTGTCCCGACAGCCAGGCCTTGTGTCCTCTGAGCTCCAGCTTCATACACCCGACTGCCTTCGTGAGGTCTCCACACAGATGTCACAGGGGCTGCTCAGGCCGGGTGCACCCACAGCTGGGCTTTCCAGCTGGTCTCCCAAACCTGCTACCCTCCCTTTCCGTAGCTCCCACGCTCGCAGAGGCCAAGGCCAGGCCCTT